AAAAAATAGCTACAAATTTTGATTGATCGGACTGAATCAATAGCAGACTGCTCACTTTCCAAAGCGTCGATTCACTCGGTCGAACAGTGTCGTAACGTTCGCCGCTTTTCATAGTATATTCAGAAGCGCTATGTGTTTCGGCCATAAATAAGCCATCACCCTGAAGAAAATCCGAATCCTGAGGTCTCACTGTCGGATACCGCTCACCTTTCTTGCTAGTAAACTGTTCTTGTGATACTGTCGTAGTTTCCATGCTCCCTTCGTGCTGCAAATTGACACAATTATCAACATCTCAGGATTACCGCAAAATAGAGCTATTCGCTTTTTATGCGGACTCGTCATAACTTTTATCAGCACTGACTATAAAGGTGGCAAAAATACCATCATTTTTTCCGGTGTTTGTTGCATCACATTATCAAACTTCAGATAACCAAATTTGAGGAAAAATTATCATTAAAAAAAATTCTCGCAATATTTCTATGTTATACTAACAACTTAATAGAGATCTTGGTGTTAACAGCAATGTGATACCACGCTCATTTCGGAAACAAATTAGTCCTTACAAGTTTGGCATTGCTAGTATAAACTGTTTAGAACTGTTATTTCTTCTCAAGTTGGAGAAATTTACCCTTATCTGTATTCATTCGCTAGTTGAGCTACAAGTTAAAAAACCTTTAGTTGAGCTACAAGTTGATATTTTATCATCCCAAAAACAGAGACTTCGCCTTCAATCGATTCTCTGCTCACAGCGATTTAAATACGAGAAAATTTTAATCTCCGATTCATTTTGTGAATAACTCGTTTGATGGCCTAGCATTTTATAAAGTCAACCCAGGTAGAAACGCTTCAGGCTCGCCGGCGCGATCATGTGTTTTTGCAACAGACTTAGAGTACTCAGATCATTAACTGTGTCGAGACTGCTAAATCTCGAGTTGCCATAATTGTATAAAATATGTATTTTTGTAACATGTGGATGTTTACTACTTGTTACGCTCTATTTCCTTCCGCGCCGCACTGTCCTTTTTATGCACTTTCGCTTCAACAAAGGAAGATGCCGGATCAACAGCGTCCAGATGTTACGACGGCGCTTATCCCTTCCCTTCCCCTTTTTTACCATTTCAACAGAATCGACAACGACGGACGGCGGACGCGACGACGAATGGACGACAACGACGGACGAAGA